CCCCGAACAACATATCTGAACTCATACAAATGTACTTGCATCAGAAATAGTTTTCGAAATATCTCTTCTTTGACTCTCAGCTGGTGGTACCCTCTCTTGAGGTTAATATTAGAGAAGACAGTGGCTCATTGCAGTTAATCAAAGAGGTCATCGATCTGAGGTAAGGGGTATTTACTTTTAACTGTCATACAAAATTTGAAAGAACTATCTTTCTTTTTCACGAATAATACAGGAGCGCCCCAAGGAGAATGACAAGGGCGGATAAACTTTCGTGTAATAAGTTCAGAAAGTTGATTTTCTAGCTCCGTAAATTCAGCGTGACTCATACGATAGACAGGCTTCAAGATTGATTGGGTTCTGGGTAACAATTCAATTGGGAACTCCACTTCTCATAGGGGAGGCAAACCAGAAAGTTCGATAGGAAAGACATCCAAAAAGTTACAAACAATTGATAGGGAACACAACAAAATTAACACCCATATTCTTTGTTTATTCAATTGTTAGGAAAAATAACAATAATTTTATTCCATTTTCGTGGGCTGTAAGGTTACAATTTTACTTTCATAATCGATTATTACTCTATACTTTTCTAACTAGTTCATTCCTAATATCACATCAAATCCTGGAAACCTAACAGTATTAGATTCACAAATACTTCTATTCTTGAAAATTTTATTTTACAATCTTTAACCTTGGACGGATCCACAGAAACTCCTTTACTCGAAATTACATGATCGAGAAAGAAAACTCGATCCAACCAGAAGGAGCATTTGCTAAGTTTAGCATAAAGTTAGTTCTGACAAAGGGTCTCTAACACTTCATCAAGTGTACTGCATGTTCCCCATAACTCTTAGAGTACACTAAGATGTCATTAATAAATATGATGATATATTGATCTAGTGCGTGTCAAAAAACTCTGTTAATGAGATCCATGAAGGCTGCAGGAGCATTGGTTACCCCGAACAGCATTATTCTGAACTCATACAAATCGTACTTGCATCGGAAAACAGTTTTTGAAATATCTTCTTCTTTGACTCTCAGCTAGCGGTACCCTCTCTTGAGGTCAATATTAGATAAGATAGTGGCTCCTTACAGTTGATCAAAAAGGTCATCGATCTGAGGTAAGAGGTACTTACTTTTAACTGTCACACAAAATCTGAAAGAACCATCCTTTTTTTTCACGAATAATACAGGAGCGCCCCAAGGAGAATGACTAGGGCGAATAAACTTCTAGGTAATAAGTTCAGAAAGCTGATTTTCTAGCTCCGTAAATTCAGCGTGACTCATACGATAGACAGGCTTCAAGATTGATTGGGTAACAATTCAATTGGGAACTCCACTTCTCATGGGGGAGGCAAACCAGAAAGTTCGATAGGAAAGACATCCATCCAGAAAGTTACAAACAATTAGTATGGAACACAACAAAATCAACATCCATATTCTTGTTTATTCAATTGTTAGGAAAAATAACAATAATTTTATTCCATTTTCGTGGGCTGTAAGGTTACAATTTTACTTTCACAATCGATTATTAGTTTATACTTTTCTAACCAGTTCATTCCTAATATCACATCAAATCTTGAAAAACCTAACAGTATTTGATTCATAAATACTTCTATTCTTGAAAATTTTATTTTACAATCTTTATATACACAGTAAGTTTCTAATAATCCCCTAGAGGGAGTTTCTACCATCAATATTTCTGCTAAAAGTTGTGGCCTAAAATCAAGATTACAAACATTTGCACAAGGAATAAAAGAGTGAGTAGCACCCGTATCGATCAAAGCCTTAGTAGAAGTATTATGGATAGAAAACATATCTTATATGAGAATAGGAGTGGGGAGAGAACCAGATTCATATAGGGAGTACACCCGACCCTAAGCTACAGGCCTAACCATGTCTTTCGGTCGTTGGGGGCAATCTTTTATAAGATACTGGGTGCTTATGTACCGATAGCAGGCGTGATTAATACGTCGGTAAGGCAGGTCACCATGCGAGCGACCACAATGCTGACAGGGTTAGTTAGGTCGAACAGGTTAAACTATAGGTGGAGGCAAGATAGGGGGAAGAACAACTTTAGTTCGTTTATCGGGATGGCTACTTACTGGATCATGCAATCTTCTCCTAAGCTGTTGGGGTTGTTGTTGGGTACGAAGATTTAAGGTCCATTTAACACAACTAGTACTAATGCTGTTTGGGGATAAAATTGTTTTGAAAATAACTTTCAACAAAAACAACGTTAAATTGATAAATAACATAGAGTTTTGGTAAAACTTATTGTAAAGAATATTTTTAATAAAAAATTAACTATAATTATTTAAATAATATTTTTTCTAAAATTTATTCTAATAGTTAAATTATTTGAACTTAATTATTTGTATTTGTTTTATCCAATATAGATATCAATTTTAAATTATTATAATTATATTTATTAAAAGCATAAAAACAGTTTGTACTTTTCCCTAAAGTATTTTATTTTTAACATTGTGATCAGATTTTATATTTTGATACAAACGGCAGAAGTAGAGATCTTAGTGGAGAGCAAAAGAATTTGAGATTAGGTTTGGGCTAATAAATAATTAGAGATAAAGAAGTGAATTTCATGCATTAATTTTGGCCTTTGTTAACTTATCCGGAGCTTTGGGTGCATGTTAGCTATTAACTATTCTTTTGAGTATGTTGGTTACGCGCTTCTCTTTGCTCTTTCGGGTGTTCTTTCACATTTTCATGTATATGTTTAGTTACATAAATTTAATATATCCAACTGTAATTCCATTTTTTTAACAATTTTAGTATTGAGTTATTTTTCAAGAATAAATATATTTTTATATTCAAAAATAAATTTAATAATAGATTAAGTATAAATCACTACTTTTATATTTTTGTATTACAGGAGTTCCAATTTATAAATAACAATTTATGTAATTCAGGAAATCATCATTCAATCTCTTCATAGTTGATCAATATTTTAATAGAATATATAACAAAACCCATTATCTAATTTGCGTTTTTCTTCTAAAGGTGGAATGTATGTTCACCACCAATGTACATAAACCTTCTTTTAAAAAAACACAATAGAACTAACTCCACGAATGCAATTTCTATATCCATGGTAGTACATCCGTCAGCTCTATGATTATAAGCAACCTTCACAAGAATATAAGCACCAATATTGACTCAATTGTCCAAGAATCTTGGCAATCTAAAGTCTCCGTCACCAGAGAGCAGGAGTAGAAAAGGTAGCCAAATCTTTGTCACTGTTCCAAGCATTACTCTCCAAAAAGAATGGACTCCGCTGCAGTAAACTCACAAACTAGAGCACTAAATCATAATATAGAATAACTCTTGGTCAATTTGTCAGGACTGCTGCTTTTACTTGTGCCATGCATGCACCCTCTAGTGCCAGAAAAAGTTAGCAGCTAACCAAGAATGTTTTTCCTGGGGTAAATTAAGTATCATCCTTCTCAACAGTATAACTTATAATGATCCTGGTCCTTGCCATAATATTTTTCTTCTTGACAGTCTCTGAATCAACTTGACCGCATCAAGTCCTTGGATACGTAAATTGTTGCGACGATTTTGTAATTTGATTTCTCAATAGTTCATTACCTGTTCAACACACTTCTCATATAAGGAGTGATACTTGGCAGGTACATAATCCTTGAATCTGTCACAAATGCCAAAACAAGAGAGAGAGATTAAAGTTCAATGGTCAAAACTTTGACATGACCAAGTCAAATATGGAAAAAGACGACATGAAATAAGTAAAAATGAGCAACAGTCAGGAAACGTAGCCACTTGGATTTATTTTTTCGCTTTGTCTCAAACTAGTTTGGCAAAAAGACATCATATAAATGTAGGTCGGAGAAAGGAGAGAGATCAGCTTCATGCATCAATGATATATCTAAGTTTGAATATTCATGACCTACATGCGAGTAAAATACAGTTGATTTAAACTGCCGTAAAGGTCAAGCAGAAGATTTTACAAAGTTTACAAAGAACTGATGCTTAAAAAGCTGAGGTAACCAAATTTTTTTCCCAAATGCTTACGATTTAAAATTTCATAAGCTGGCAGAGAAATAAATCCATTTGTTTCAATTCTATATTCCTTGAACAAAATCATAAGTTTCATTTTTGATTCACATTAGAAGCAATTTCACTCTTGTAATGAAACTTCACGGTTATGAATTTCTATTCAGCTTAGCATTTAAGGAAACATGCAGTAGGGAGAAATCAAAAGCACATAATACTTGGGCTGTACGTGTAAATATTAGAAAAAATATATGAACATTTTTTATTCTCTCATTTCAATAGCTTAAGGATATATATATACATACAGAAAGATCTATCTATGGTAATAAATATAAATTATCTTATTAATTTGATGCCTATAATTATGCTAATATATATAGAAAGATAATCACGGTATTATACACGAGAATATTATGTAATCTTGTAACGCTCATTCTCAAGTTGGAGTATAAATATTAATCATAGCCAACTTGTTACGAACATACTCAATTCGAATTCCAAGTAGAGCCTTTGTGAATATATCATCTACTCGTTTCCTTGTCTTCACATAATCAGTAAATATCAAATTTTTTTAAATCTTATTACGGATAAAATAACAATTAATTTCGATATGTTTGGTTCTTTGCGTTTGAGACTATGAAGGACAACTTAATAATCATACCAGAGTTTTGCAGGTGATATGGGCTTCAAAACTACTTCAGTCAAAAGGTGATGTATTCATAAGATTCCATATGTGGACTGGACAATAACTCTGTACTTGGACTCTACATTAAACCAAAATACAACGGTCTGTTTCTTACGTCTCCATGATATGAAGTTTCCACCAACAAAAATGCAATAACCCGTAATGGACCTTCTATCAATTTTAAATATAGCCTAATCAGTATGTGTAAAACATTCGATGTGAGTATGCTTGTGATTGTTAAATAATATGTCAAGTTCTGGAGTACTTTTTAAGTAGTACAAAATTTGTTTGAGAACCTCACAGTGTTTAACTGCAGATGCAGACATAAATTCGTTAACAACATTGATGGAATATGAAATATTTGACAAATCACTGTGAGGTAATTCAATTTTCCAACTAATCACTTGTATTTTTCTGCATCATTAAGGAGATCACCATCATCTTTTCTAACATGTACATTTTGCACAATTGATCTATTGCATGACTTAACTCCTAGCTTTCCGGTTTCTATAAGTAAATCAAGTACATGCTCTCTCTGAGATAAGAAAATATCTTTCTTACTTTTATTACTTCAACTCCCAAAAAGTATTTTAACTGTTCCAAGTTTTTAATGTGAAACTTGGCATGCAAGAGTGATTTGAGAAAAAATATTCTTGCACGATCACCTCCTGTAACAATAATATAATCAACATAAACAACAAAAAAAAAAAATACCAGCTGTTTGTCTATAGAAGACCGAGTGATCACATTTGCTTTTCTTCAGTCCAAACTCTAAAACAACTTTAGCAAACTTACCAAACCATGAATGAAGACTCTGCTTCAAACCATACAAAGATTTTTTTAAATGATAAATTTTTCTGTACTCCCCCTGATCAACAAATTCAAATGGTTGTTGCATATACATTTCTTCTAAGAGATTATCATGAAGAAATACATTCTTAATATTCAACTGGTGTAAGGGCTAGTTTCAGGAGGCCGCAACATAGATGAATCAACGGACATATATAAGTTTGGCCATTAGAGAGAAGACATCAAAATAATTCACCTCATAAGTTTGAGCATAACCTTTTACTACAAGTCTGACTTTAAGTCTTTCCACAGAGTCATTTGGATTCACTTTGAGTGAAAAGACTCATTTGCACCCGATAACCTTTTTACCTTAGTTACAAATCCATAAAATCCCAATTACGATTTTCATCAAGAGCAGTTATCTCCTAAAACATTGCATTATGCCAATCAGAGTGATCTAGAGTCTCCTTAATTGTTTTGGATATAAAAATTGAATCTATAGAGACAATTAAAGAGTTAGATGAAGGAGACAGGTGATCATATGAAATAAAATTAACAATGTAATAAGAAGAGCCAAAAAGGGTGCATTGATGTTTTTCCTTTACGAAAACTGATGGGAAGATCAAGGTCATGTGGGAAAGGATCAGATGACGAAGACGCTAATGCAGAACATTTATCATTAGTCTGTTATTTTCTGCAATAAATATAAAGAATTAGCGATTACTCTTGAGTTGTAGCCACACCATCATTAGTTTGCTCAACTAGAACTGGAGGCACATAAGGAGAAACACCATTATCTGATTGTTTAGTAGAGGTACTGGGTGGGAGCATATAGATAAGCCACTCATTGTCCTCCACCTGATTTGTATAATTGGACGGTGAGGAGAAGAGGTATATTCTCAGAAAAAATCACATTGGTTAATACCAAATATTTATTGAGATTTATAGAGTAACACCAATATCACTTTTAGATGCGAGAATATATCAAAAAGACACATTTCAAGACATTTGGATCTAATTTCTTAATATTAGGCTGCATATCTCGAATATAACAAGTGTTACCAAATATTCGAAACTGCACTGGAAACAATGACTTGTTTGAAAAAAGAATACTGTAAGGAATACCACCTTCAAGTACTGTAAATGGTAAATGATTAATCAATAAATAAACCGTAAAAATATCATTGACCCATAATTACTTAAGGACTAGTGTGCAGAATAAAAAAGTTCGAGCAGTCTCAAATAAGTATCTGTTTTTTTTCTCAATAACTCTGTTTTGAGAAGATGTACCAACATAAGAGGACTAGTGAAAAATTCCTTATTGAGTCGTATAATTTTGAAATGAGTCTGACATATACTTTTGAGTACTATCACTTCTTAATACGTATACAGAAATATTAAATTGGGTTCTAATTTTTGCATAAAAAATATAAAAGTAAGCAAACACTTCAGGATGATTTTTTATAAAGTATATTTAAGTTATTCAAGAAAAATCATCCACAAAAATAATAAAATATTTAAATACTATTCTAGACAACATGACAAGGACCCCAAATACTATGATGAACTAATTTAAAAGCAAACTCAACTCGTTTATTAATTCTTAAACTTGACAAGTTACAGTGATATTTTACAAATTGACATAACTCACAATCTAATGAAGGTACATCATGAAACTAAGGACATAACTTCTTTAACATAGTGAAAGACTAATGTCTCAGTCGATAACGTGCTTCAAATGGAGAGACGATACTAGAGCAAGCAACTAATCGAGACATCTAAATATAAAAAATGTAGATACCTTCTGATATATGTCATTTACCAATAATCTATTTCGTCATAAGATCCTAATAAAAACAACGATCAGAAAAGAATGAGATATAACAATTAAGATCTTTACTAAATCTATTCACAAAAATTAAATTGAAAGCAAATTTATATAAACTTAATACAGATGACAAGATAATAGAAAAAGTTTATTTTATAACCTCATAACCCACGTTATTTATAGGTTGACTAATCAGCGAATGGTTACAAGAACAGGTGATTTGTGTGATTGAAAGGTAGAAAAAATATTAAAATTACCTGTCATATGATTTGTAGCCACCAGAATCAATCACCCATTGATTTGAGGAGGAGATAAGACATATTTTATCTGATTTAACAAGAGTAGTAACTGATGTGCGAATTTAACATACTCATCAATTGAAACTATAGTAGTTTTTTTTGAAAATGAGGTAGCAATATTAGTAGTTTGTATTCTCTAATTCTAATTCTGTAATTTATTGCACTGCTACATTGTATGTCCTTACTCAAGACAGTAGTAGTAGAAAATATTGCTTAAATAATTGTTCTGATTATCCATAGCTTTGTTTCCTCCCCTATTATTATTCTTTCCTCCTCCTTTAACAACAAGAACATTGGTTTGCTGGTTGGGTGATCTCAGAACTTGTTGAAAACTTCCTGAAGAGAGGTGATCTCAGAACCTGATAGAATCTAAGACTTGAGAATCTCAAATTCAAATGGAAGATCAGCCAAAAAACTCATTATGGCCATCTGCTCTCCCCATATTTGTTGTACCTTGATGTCACCATTGAATGATAAAAATACATAAAACTCGTTATATGTTTTCTTGAATTTCATAAAGTAGGCCATGAGAGATTTGGTCTCAGCATTGCAGAAAGTCTTGCAAACATTATATGTGTGAGATATATTTCCTTTATCGAAATACAAAAATTCTAGATAATTCATTGGCTCTTTAATGAACTCATAGTGATTAATTAAGCCAATTACATCACAGTTAATTGAATTTCTAATTTGCATAAACAACCATGCATCCTCTTTTAGTTAGACTTGTTTATTTCTGTCAGAGGAAGGATCTTGAATAAGTGATCATTTTTGCCAATACTACGTAAATAAATCCTAATAGTCTTGCTCTACTCCAAATAATTGGTGTAATACATTTTATGTTCAGTAATTTTTGACAAAACTTAGACTATCTCACTTACAGAGAAATTTGTTATCACATATTTTAAATTTAGAAATTAAAATGTCACTCACCGATACCCAAAAACACAGCAGCCAGAGAGAGACGAAAAATATTATAAATAAACTAGAAATTCAAACGTAAATAGAATACTTAAACATGCACGGCCGCCACC